TATCATTGAGCACACAGAGGACTGGATAGGGGGTCATCCAACCTCATTCAGAAATATAGTTTTTCCTCCATGAAAGTCTCGCTTTGAATAGGTTTTGGTTTACACAGTTCTAGAACCCCTGCTCAGTATGAACAGTTCTCTTAAATTCATTTAGGTCATTTACAAACCTGATCATGTATTTTTGATAGAGGAAAAACCCAGCAAAAATGAATATATTTGTCACAGGATTACTTCAGATGGTTATCAAACTTATTCTCTCTCTTTTTTACAAAAAAAAACCCTACGTACACCAAGAAAGGTTTCTATTTATGTAACAAATTGAGAAAGCTATTAATTATGGTAAATTGTTTTTATCTGCACATCATTTTCAGTACCAAAAGCCAAGTAAATTTGTAGCTACAGTGATAAGTGAAGCAAATCTAACAGCTGTTGGAAAGCACATGTTCTAATATAGATTCACACTAGCAGACTGGATAGACCCAAGGTTTCCCCAACTTGGGTACCCTCCAGATATGCTGGATTACAGCTCCCAGTGTCTCAGTGTGAGGATGAAGAGAGTGGTAATCCATCCATGCCACCCAGAAGGGGCTGCTCTTCCCTATATAACAAACACATTTCTGTAAGAAGATATATATTAATAGGTTTCCTCAACACACAAACTCATGCTTTTCCCATGGAAGTCTTAAACTAGGAAAATGGAAATCTCCTGACGATGAGTACCATTTGATCACACTTTTTCATTGTGACCTCTCCTAGTATGATGATCTCATCTAAAAAGGTCATTAGGAAAAAAAACCCCATGATCTAACGTTAGCTATCTTGGGCTGCAGTTTTATACACCTACATTGACATATGTGTCATTGAACTCAGTGAAACTTGCTTCTGAAAAGACATGTATAAAATTTTACAGATAATCTGCACTCAATAAAGAAAAATGCAACTTCCTTTCATCTTCTTCCCAAGCTAGAATGATATCCTAAAAGACCTAAAAGAGCGCTAAGCCCATATGGCAAAATTACCATTCCTTCAAAGTAAGGATGTTCAAGGAATCTGTTTCAGGGCGAGAACCTGTTAGATTCTCAGGGCTGAGCTCCCCAAACTCCAGTCTGCTTTGCAGCAACTCAGAATCTGAGTTCCTGAGGTGCACACCCAGCACTTGCAGGGCACCCGCCAGGAATTGAGCTTCATGCACCGCATGAGTAAATCCCCTTTTCCATATGCACCACTACCACAGCAGCAAGTGGGGAAGAAGGTCGGTGGTCAGAAAGGCACCTGGTACATCTGCTTAGTGTCTCTTTCCCTTGCCCAACTCCATTGAGAGCAGTGAAGAAGGTTGATCACCAGAAATGGCAGTTGGAATGCCCTCTTGCACCCTTTTTCCACATCCTGTATCTGCTCCTAATATGGAAGGCTACCAATTGCACAGTTTGGGGTCCATAAGCATTCCGAGATTTCCTCTTGGCTCAGTTCGCTTTGCAGGACTGGGCCAAGAACAAGAGGAAATCTGTGGATGCTGGTGGGATGGATTCCAAAAAAGGTTTATCCCAACCCTACTTAACTCCAACAGATTTACAGGATGCATTTTCCAAAATATGAAAATGGAGTTCAATTCCAGTTTCCAAAGACTGGCAATGTTTCAAGAATATGATACGATTCCACTCTCCAGTTTAAAGTCTTTTGCAGATTAGAGTAAAATCCCAGATTAGGGCAGGTACTCCACAAAAGGTAAATGAACACATCATGTTAGGTGCAAAATTTCAGATGACATTAAGTCATCATTTTATAACTCATTAGTTGTAAAGACAAAGAAAACTCAAGACATCCTGTATTACATAATTTTCATTATATACCATGAATTGGCAAGCATCCATGGAGAAGTAGGAGAAAAAAGACATAGTTGGATTTTCCATCAAATCAATTTTCATGAAACCATGAGTATCGCTATATAATAAAAATGACTTTGTTCAAAAGATCTTATAATCACATTGGCCGATTCAAATGTAATGTTAAAACCAGGGTTTTGAACTAAAAGAAGAAGTTGCAATAACCAAGGTCTCCCTCTTTTTCTAATGCAGCCATAAGGAGACATTGGGAAACTTGTGATTCCATTTTGGATTAACCAGGTTGGTATATCATCCAAACCAAGACAAGCTATGATTAACTATAACTTTATTGTTAGTCGTAAGAAGCCAATTTTAAAGCATAATTTATGCAACTATCCTTTTAACCATGGATTAAGATTAACCAAAGTTTAGGGCTTGCACAAGATGCTAAACTTTGATTAATCTAAAAAGAAACATAAATTTTCCATTTCCTTGTGACTGCATTGAAGGAATAGGAGGAAATCAATGCTCAAGGGTTGATGCTTACCCAGGCTTGTTCTTGTAACACTAAAACAAGAGGTCACCCAAAACTGGGTTGGGGGGGGGGTCTAGATAACTCCTCCAGCTCTCTACGTGCCAAATGACCTCAAAGAAGTGCTGCCAAGTCCCCTGACATTATATGGCCCTCAACAGACACATCAGGAGAATAATCTTCCCAGCACATCTATCAGGATCTACCTTCTCTATGTACAGACCTTCTCCCATTGGAAGAAGACCCACACACAAGGAATCCACTTCATTAGCCCTATGCCAGGTACCAGTGAAACATCATGAAGTGCTTCCTGACTGTTAGAGCAGTATGACATTGGGACCAATTGCCTAGGGAGGGCGTGGGCTCTCCCATACTGGAAGCATCAAGATGCAACTAAGACAGCCATCTGAGAGAGATGTTTTAACTTGGGAGTCCTGCACTGAGCAGGGGGGTTGGGCCTGATGGCATTCTTGGCCCTTTTCAACTCTATTATTATATTATTCTATGCCTTCTCCTATAGAAAAGAGCATATGGTACTGGTGGAAGCACAGCAGTTTCTCTAAAGGGAAAGATGCCATTGGGAAAAGTCACACACCAACATTCCCTAGTGTTATCTCCAGTCTGTGACCCAAGATAACAGCAGGCATTCTTCCAGGAGATGAAACTTGGAAGCCAAGTCCCAACCTTTGGAGGAATCTTGGAAAGTTCAGCCAACCAGATTTGGGCTGAAGACCCAAGGTTGCCCTTCCAGGCACTAAACTATAATTTCACATTGCATTTGAACAACAGTGATGGAATTCTTCAATGACTTGCCTCATCCTTCGAGACAAAAGGAATTAAAAATACATATTATTTGTATTCTGAGTGTAGGCCTCACTGAGTTTCTCAGTAAAACTTAATAGGATCACCAATATCATTTAGTGGAAAAACACATTTACCACATTTCATTTGTATTTTATTTATGTAAGATTTATAGAAAAATATGAACCATACTCTGAGAACTTTGGTCAAAGAGACCATGGTGCAAAAGTGTGGCATCTGGGTAGTTTTCCAGATACCACAAAAGAAGAAACAAGGCAAAAAAGGAAAAAACATTCCAGGAATGAGCTCTATGATTCCTGCCATGGTATGCTAGTTTTTCAAGTGTCCTCAGTGCATTGCTCAAAGATCCCTGCCTAGTTCCTTAGATGCTCTAATAACAGAGGCAGTTCACTTTTTGTTTCTTAAAAAAAATATCCAGGTAATGGATTGTGGGATGGCAGTATCCATCAGCAAGAGATTGGGTTAAAAGAGGAAATGAGCTAAGAGACTGGATTCCTGGCTGATATTCCTAGAAGGCATATTGTTTTTATCTGATCTAAACAGATGCTTGACTCTGAAACTCTTTTGGGAAGAATTAGATTTGAGCAAGTGGAGCATGAGTGGTATGTTCTATGTGAACTGTATGTCCTTTGTGGCCCTTGCCACTCTAACTGACCAGTACAGCCCTCAAGGCCCAAAAAACTGTGCGCCTTTGGAGCCAGCAAGTTACAATTTATAAAAGCATCAGAGTTTTTTTTAAGTGCCATAGGTGAACAGACTAAAGGCCACATTTTAATTTGCTCTTAAAATGAGACAAGATGAAATACCTTTATGCTTCAGTGACTGCTATTCCATGAATAAAATTTATTAAAACACTGAAGAGAAACAAATATAGAAAATACAGTGATCCATACTAACCTGAAAGAAGTTGTGTAAGGCAACCCTGTTTATAATTTTGTGCCCATTAAAAGGTATGACATGCCTTAAATTGTCTACTGAAACATACTCATAAAACTGTGTCTCATACACCAAGGGTGGCCTCAACAGCAGAAGTTTTCAAATTTCTTTCCTTCCACTATCCCAAATTACTAACATTTCATGTAGAAGCACAACATGCCATTACAAAAGTATAATCGTTTATTATTGGTGGCATGGGTGATGGCACATGAATTCAAAGGCTAGTAGTAAAGCCAACAATGACATCTAGTGGACACCAAATGCTAAAAGTGAAAATTTACAGGAGCTGAGCAGGGCTATGAAGGACAGGACATTCTGGAGAGTATTAATTCAACAGGTCACCATAAATCGGAGGCAACTTGAGAGCACATACTAACAATAAAAAACAGAAGCAAGGTTCCAAAGAATGTTCTTCCATCTTTTCAGTTCAAGAGAAGAGCTCTCAGAGGTAGGACAGAAATATCACCCTGCATTCCTTAATTGTGATAGTGTTTGCTTTATCCCAATCCTGTTCTCTGCCACAGTTTCACATATGGAATTTAGAGTAGAAAATATCTGACCAGGAAATTAGGTTTCTGAGCCCTTTTGCCAGCATGACCAGGCATGTTTGAAATTGATGGGAGTTTCAAAAGCAATGTTAAGAAATGGCATGCAAATCAGCTACCCAAATAAAAAGTTAACAGTTCCATTGGGCTGGGGCAGATTCCATAACTACAGCTAAGTAGCCTTTTTGATACCAGTGATGCTGTAATTCATTTTTGGTTTTCCAATTGTGTACTGTGAGTATGTCAAACACCAAAAACAAACACTAAAGAATATGCAACAGATATTCCCTGTTTTGCCATTACTTATCTGAAATAACATTTTATGAAGTAAAGCAGGCTTACCCGAATTTCCTGCAAGTTGTGAAAATTGTTTCCTACTCTGACAGATATCTTGCTTGGAGTGTAGCTTTCGTCCGATTTATAATCAGCATAAATACACAGTGTCTTCACTGTTGTTTTTCTTCTGCAATCAAAACATGAAACCTTTTAAAGAAAACTTTGCCATTTGCTATATTTATTTCTGAGTATGAAAGCATCCAGCATTGTAAACTTTTAGTTTGTGACATTGTAATTTATGTATTTTATTTTGAAAATGTGTAGCTCATGTTACAAACATATTTGAATGATGGGTTAGAAACACAAAGAAATGAGCAAGCACTTGCCAATTTTTTAAAGCCCAATTTACCTGGTGAGTGGAACTGTATATTTATGCACAGATGCTCTTGATCTGCCTCCAACATCCTGGTGCACTCCAGATGTTTTAGACTTCAACTAGCACCACCTAGGATGGTCAATTGTCAAGTAATGCTGGGAGTTGCCCTCCATTTGGATTACATCAGGCTGGGTGGAGACAACTGCTCAGGACACTTTAGAGCTAACAAAACACTCTGAACCAAGCACAGAACTGAGATGCAGATTTATGGGCAGGACTATAACCAAGAGAAGCAAAGTTTGCACATTCAGAACCAATGAAACAATTTTCAAACTTCCCTAATCATTATATTTGAACTCTAGGTAGTGGCAGATTTAAAATAAGCCAAGTGTCTACTAACCATAACATCCTGAAGGCAAAGCATAATACTTATGTTATAAAACTGACATTTAATTGTTATCAAAAAAACATAATTACAAAAACTAAAATAGTTTTTGAAGACAGCATCATGCGTTCCTTCAGTGGTCATTCTTTCTGTCTTCTTCCAGTACAGATAATCATGAAAATTGTATAAAAATGACATAGAAAAATATCTATTACCTGAATTGAATATTCACCAAATGAGGCTGTGATCCATCAGACTGCCAGTATGTTTCTAGATTATCATCTCGTAACTGGTCTACACCAAATCCTAGTGTGAACAAAATATGGTAATTTGAGTCTACTTAGGGACAGCACAATCCAGTGTGGCTGCCCATAACCTGCTGAACTCAGAAAATTAAGGGCATCCTACTGAAGGCAGGAAGAAGTTGCTCCTGCCCCACAAAAGGCTCAGATGGCTAATTCCAGCTGTCTAAGTCTTTAGCTACAGCTTGTGAGAAGCACAGGCTCAAGTAGCATCATGATAATCATATCCCAGCAAAGCCTCACTCTTCTCCACCCTGCCCTCCAGGATGCCCATCAAGTGCCAGTCCTGAGGTCACTTGTACGATCTCAGAGCCACAGCCAGTGCAGTTGTTTCCACATTGGCTGCAAGGACAGAGGGAGGGTGCTGCAAATTCAGTCTCAGCACTACACTCAAAGCACATGTTTGCAGTCAGACTTGGGACTCCAAATTTTTGCAATGACTGTTTAGACTCAGTCTAGGCACCTTCTATCCAAGTAGCACACTTGCAGTTCAGTAAAGATGTATGTGGCTTGTCTGTGAGCATCACTTTGCAGTTTACCTGGTTTACAAGACGACAGTGACCAAACAGCTTGTGATCCTATTTCTCTAACAGTTCCAGTTCTTTCCAGCTGCTTTGGATCTGCACCAGGGGGTGTCTTGTTAGCAGTCGTCATTTTTCACTAACAAGAGAAGTTGATATGCTTAAAACAATGCATTTTCATGAGAATGAGGACAATATTTTAACAAAGTCTGCTGTAAATATGGCAACCTTTGGCTGCAATCTGTATTAAAAGGAAGTAACTCTTTTTCTATTTTATTGATCTATTGATCATAATGTACTTACACAGGTAGTTCCCACATTACAAAGAAGTTCCATTCCTGAGAAAATGGAAATTCATCTTTAAGTCAAATTTGTATGTAAATCGAATTAAATATAGTCAGTCCTTCACATTCACAGGACTTAGGGACACAGGATCCCTGTGAAAGTGGAAAAACTGGGAATATCTCTAGCTCTCCCCTACCAAACTAACCAGTGCCTCCTCTTTACAGCAGTGAAATGCCAAAGATGCATGCTTTGGAGGCCTCCCTCTCTCCCCTTTTACTTCTCCCCTCTCTCCATGGTGATGACAATTTTCCACAATATTTTTTTAATTAATAGGCTTTATGGCAGTTTGTTTGTAAGTACAGGTTATTCATAACTCAGACATTCATAACTCACAGACTGTATTCCTACACTAGCAAATTAATGATTATTTTCAGGGTGGGGAGGTGGAAAGGGTATGTTCTGACATTTTATATTAAATAAAATGCAGGAGAGCAAAAGGGCAATATAGTTAGTCATTTTAACAATACAATTATTTGCATACAAAGTGGTGAAAAAGTCTCCTGCCCAACTGAACAGAGCTGTGTAGGACATATTGTTTCAATGAGAGACTGAAAGTCAAATGTTGCATAAGGGAAAGCAATTTGGACAATGGATGCTTACCTTCCTCTATTCCCCCTGCAGCCTCTGTATCCTCCAAAGGGCCTCCGAAGAGGTCAGAGGGATCTATCAAATGTTGTTAGTTACAGATTACAATCCCGCAGTGGGAGATGGAAAATTGCACAAAAAATTGTGGAGAAATCTTGTGCCATTCATGCATGATTGCTTATTTTGGCAATATTTCCCTCCTACTCTAGACTAATAAGACAAGGCTGATGGCTGCTTCCATTGGCTGGTTGTCATATTGCATGCATTCACTCATGGCTGCACAAATCCACTCGACTAAGTCTTAGGGTTTGCTTGACTCATGATGGGTTGTCATGTTTTCCAAACATGGACAGCATGACTCATTATGGGTCAAGCCTAACAACAAGCATGGCAAGAGCAGCAAAATCTTACTGTCACTCTTGCCAAGCAACTAACAGTGTGCATGGCTGACAGCTCCTCCAAAAGTGCCCAAGCGGGGAAGCTATCAGAGGCTTTCCCCATCCCCACCACCTCTGTCAGCTGTTTTGGGAGTGGCTACCAGAAGCTCTCCCTGCTGCTGTAGCGTGCATGACAACTCAGCTGCATCAGGCCTTGCTTTGTTTCCCTGTACCACCACTGCAAGGGTGAGCTGAGAGGGCTTGTGTCAGTGGTGTGTGACACAGATCGGTTTGACTGACTCATGAGTTGGGTGATCCAACTCCATCTCCTCTGCTCCACAGTGTCACTGCAAGCTGGAAGTGCAGGATGGGCATCACTTAAGTCAGCTGGAGTGATGCCTGCTCCTCCACTGGGCTTCAGGGAACAAGGCTGCATTGTGCAAATTGGACCTTTCAGAAAAAAGTATATAATCTGCACTCGTGCAGAACAAATTGATTAAAAATAAGAAAAACACATTAATTTAAAAAAGTGGGCAAGCATGGGCAATACCCCCGGGGTGCCTCTGGACACTCTTGTGCCCGCCCCTTAAGAGGATCAAAAAACTGACAAGCTCACTGGAGAAAATGTTAAGGGAGAGCTGCAGCAAAATCACTTCACAATCACTACCATGAGGGAGAGGAGACATATTATTCTCATGGCGTCTTCTCAGATACCACCCCAAGAAAGGAGAGCAGAAAGAAGTAGAGCACTGACAAAGAGCCTGAACATCTGTCAAGTTCATTCTAGGTATTTCATGGGTTCAATTTACCATTGTGGTAAGTCACCATGATGGGTTGTACTATGTGCAAACCCAACCAATGTTTGGCAGGTCTTTACTCTCCAAAGGGTACAGGGAAGATGGGGAAGGAAGGGGCTTATTACATGAGCAGAAGACAAGTTTACACATCACTGGCATTCATTTGTTTGTCTTAAATAACAATACCACTCAGCAACAGCATCACTTTCATTTATAGTAGAAGTCTAAAATGATACTGGATTTGAGGCTTCCCAAAAGTTATTGAGGGGACGTTCAGGAATGAGTCAAACTCAGCATGTTTCAGACTATGAACAGCCTAAACACAGAGCTGCAATCCTATGAACATTATACAGAAATACATTGAAATCTGTAGGACCTACCTTGAGAATAAGCATGCACAGGACAAGGCCGCAACAGTTCTTTAGAAAAAGTTCTTTTCTTGACACTGCATAGAAAATGAAGCAAGACATGCCAGTGATTTGCACTTGTGGCCACAAGAACTGCATGTTGTATTTTCCAGATAATTATCAATGAACGTAAACAGAAGCAACTTTGAAAAGTCATATTTGTATTTTTCCATTTCAGAAGCCACTGTGGTAAAATGGACAGTTAGAACTTAAGCCAGGAAGAAAATGGTTCAAATCCTCTGTCAAATGAAGAAAAACTGGGAGAGCCTTTTCAGTTGTGGTACCCTGGCTATGGAATGGTCTCCCCAAATATGCCATCTGGCTCTTTCACTGTAGTCTTCCTGGTGCCTAGTGAGGATCTTTATATTCTCCCAGGCACATTAATCCACTGGTGTTTTAAATGTGTTAAATCTTTACACTGCAGTTGGCTTTACTTTAGATTTATATGGTAGTTTAAAAATGTTTACAAGCTGTATATTAGTTTTATCATGTTGCCGCATTTTATCATTCTAACTTTTGTGAATCACCCATTTAGCTATTAGGTAATAAGTAAAATGTAATAAATAAATAGGTGAACAAACTAACACTATTTTTCTTTTTTTATATTTGTCTTCATCTGCTTAACATAAGCTGTAAAAAATGCAATGGCTCTTTCATTGTCACAACAAAAAACACAAAAACAATATCAGGAATGAATTATACAGTAATTACAAAATGGGAAAAATTCAGGGACCTTTAAGTTACATTAGTTACAGCTACTGGAATAGCTTCAAGTATATTAATAGCAAGAACAATTTCCAGTCTGTCAGATCTGGTTTCCAAACTGCTTTCATATTTTACAAAATGTCAAAAATCTGTGGCTTGCAATCATGCACTAATTAACTTTTAGGAAGCATTTTCCATTTTAATAATATGGAAAATGAAATCTTCACATGACATCAGTGAAGAATGTTTCCTTAGACATAAGGTTGTACAGCAAATCACCAGTAAGCAGAACATGGAAAAACATTTCTTATTTTTGTAATTCAAACATAGGATAAAGGTTACTAAAATTATTTCTGCATTTCTATATATATACACATAAATACACACACATACCAGCTATATCAGCTTCTTCTTATCCTGTCTCTAGAAAATCTAAGCAAAGACTCTGGATCATTTAACATATTGAAGCCAATTTTTAGGGTTACCCTTCCCCAAAGCAACATAGAGAAGTAATAAGTTACACATTACAGGTGATCACCTATAATTACCCATAAATTACTTACAGAATTATATACCATTCCATATATCAACATATGAAATCAAACAAAGTCAGCCTTAAAGGAGGTCTTTGAAGCTTGTCAAAAAGCTAGAGTTGATGAAGCACAGGTAAATTGCAAAAGTCCCCAAGTTTTGGGGCCTTAGTTGAGATGGTCTGGGATCTAGTGCGTGCAAACTGTACTGATTTGAATAGCACGCCTCTAGAAGCACGTTTAAGGCAAATCTTAGCATTAAGTGTTGAATATCAGATCCCTGAGTACAACTCACCGACAAGGAAGCATGGAAAGATACATATTCTACTCGGTGCCCAATCAAGCCTTTTTTAATATAAAACACCTATTCATATATAGCAGGGCTTTCTTTTTAAACACTGTCGTTAACTGTTATCCAAGAGCAGCAGCACCTACACTTTATTCCTCCGTTGTACTCCATTTTCCTTCTCTCTTCCACACTCAAGCTTCTATTTTTCCTATTATTCAATCTGGCTGCTCATTCTGATAGTTTACAACCTCTTCAAAAAGGAAAAAAGTGACCTTTCCTTTAATGAATGGGAAAGGGAACGGGGCAGGTTACGCGGGCATTCAAATGCTGCTTACTTTCTTTTGTTACTTTTCGAGACCGCTACATAACCAACATTTTCTATTTTTAAGACAACCCATCTCGTTTTAAGATAACGCCAGCTTTGCAAGGAAAAGGGGCATAGCTAAGTAACAACAACAGCCGCATCTTCCCTGAAGGCAGCAGCAACAGCCGCCGCCACCCGCGCGGGACGGTTACTTACGCTTCCTACGGCCGCTAACAACGCCGGCTACTCCTCGGCCACGCCCCCGCCGCTCCTCCGACCTCTCGGTTGAATCCCCGTCATCTCTTCTTCCCGCCCCCCTTGGCTTCACAGACAGGCGTCGCTATGCGATGACGTCACGGACAGCCACAAGGCCGCCTCTCCATGCACTTCCGGCTTTCCATCCTGTTTATAGCTATCGTAAGCCTCGTCTCTATGGTGAGTGGCGCCGGCTCCTCCTCCGATGTTAGCGGCCATTTTGGCCGGGTGGCAGCGGGAGCACGTTGTCTCCGCGTCCAGCTGCGAGCCACGGGGCCCCGCGAGTCTCCCGTTGGCAGCCCCCTCCCCTTCCCCACCCCGTCCCGGACAGGGGGCTTCGCTTTCCTTTCTCCTCTCAGCCTTTTTGGGTAAGTAAAACCTGGCGGAGGGCGTTCCAAGGGAGAACCCTTTCGTGCTCCCTCCTTGTTCAGGTGGGGCCGCTCTGGCGGCTGAAGATACGGCTGCTTGGGCCGCAACTACCAACCTCGCTGTCGATGCGTTTTCTCTTTCAACCCGCTTTACGTGGGGGTGCGAACCTTGCATTCTTGCCTTCGGAGGCAGAAATCCTGGGATTCCATTGCCGCACCCCTTAGTTTTTCTCCTCCCCTCGTTTAACAATATATTCGGCTTTTTTAAAAGCCTCCTACGCGCACACGTACAGACACTTCATCTTGGGCTAAGGCCGTCCTTCATATATATCGGTTAGAAGGGAGCATCTCGTTTGATTACAAGGAATGAGGGTGTCCGTGTTCTGAAATTCCCTTTTAAAAGGAAAACTCACCAATCACCTACACTGCACCCCTTTTTGCCCGAAACAGAGACATTTTTATTTACTTAGGATGTTTTGATGGTTGCCACTTGTAAAACATCGCTTTTAATGGCTTTATTGTATGTTATTGTGACTTCCAATTCCAACGCACACTGCCCTAAAACCAGAACAGAAGGGGACATGTAAATGGTTTAAATAAACATTCATAGTGAGGAAATTGATGCTTTGAAAAGGTAAAAAGGGATGGTTTCAGCAGCTATTTTTTCAAAATCTTATTTTCATATGCATTCAGTAAATCATCATCATTATATTGCATTTATTATAAGTCAGATACATTAGAATATTACATGTACCATTAAAAAAACCTGAGTAACTCATTCCCACCTCCCTCCTCTTGTCTTGGCTGAAGAATGAGTATTTCTGTGTTAACACAGTGTTTCATGATGGCAGTCATTGTTATTTCTATGTACATTCTGGGTTGTAGGAATTACTTGTTAAAAAGTAACAAAGCAATAATTTTGGGATAAATTAAAGGCTAACCGATTTATTGTAATCGGTTAACTTCCACAGCCTTTTAAAATAACTTCATTGATAACTTTGTTCTGTCATATTAGGCAATTCTGAAGGGCTTAGAAGTCAGAAAGTACTGAAAATTATATCATTTGTGATGCAGTTTTTGACCACTGGAAAGTGGGGCAATAGAAAAAGGGTACACAAAAAATAGAAATCCTTGCTAGAGTATAGAAAGGGAAAATCTGTACACTGCACAGAAGTCAGCATACAGTTGGAACTTTGATTCCTGATCTATGTCAGCAATTCTCTTTGCCAAAGAGACAAGCTTCTTCTTAATGTGTTGTAGCTAAGCTCAGGATTTAAGTTTCACCCTTTCTTACATGCACCAGTAGTCCAACTATATCATTGTCCTCATAAGGAGAACCAACAGCTTTAAAACAAAAATGACCTGGAGGAGCTCTAGGTACAAGGAGCTACACGGTACAAGTATCATTTCATTGCATTTCAACAGGGTGGAGCTAATTGGTCTAGTAGCCAAATAAGAAATAGGATGAGAATATTAACAAATTGAACTATTGTGCAGAACCAGAATACTAGAAATCATTGTTTTCTGTGATGGTGAGACGTGTTGTTGGCAGAAGGGATTTTCTATTTCTTATGTATGCAGTAAACTACGGAGAATGGTCAGCTTGTTATTCTTTGGTGCCAATCAATTTTTGTTGTTGTGAGCCAAATGCTTAAGTATTTTGCTGCACAAACCAATCTGTTTCTGTATGTTGTGTATATTTAATGAGTATATCTAGCACTAAGCTTTCCAGTTATGAAGAGCATGATATGTATAGCATTCCATAAAAACAATGCTTACAAGATCTGAGAAAGAGAACAAGAGTAAAATACTTTTGTTTTGCTTGTATATTTACATTTACCTTTGAATTTATATGAGCTGCTTGCAATATCTTAATTTTCTTAAGTCTTAGTTTTTCCTTTGTTCAAAAGTGTATATTTTTCACTGGTGTTGCTGCTCCTATTTCTGTATTTTTTTCCATGAGAAATTCAGCCTGTACTATCCTTTCCTTTTGTCCTTCTGCTGTGTCTTCTACTATTGGAATATAGAATGTAAACTCCTTAGACAGGACCTTTTATTTTTTGCCCACCTTTTATGGGTTACTTGTTAATAAAGTCATGTGGCAAGATAGGTTAACCTATCCCATTTCTAGTCATCTGTGAGTCAAGGAGAAAATTATAGTATAGTAGACTTGGAAGGGGCCAGTAAGACCATGGGGCCCATCCCCATGCTCAATTCAGGACTTTAGGTCAAAACATTCCTAACAGATGGCTGTTGAGGGACCATAACTGAAAAGAATGAAAATTTATATTTGAGGATGTATGAAATGAAAAATGTTAGGACATCTTTATCTGTGCTGTGCTTGGAAAGTTAACAGCAGAACCCTGACTCAGGAGCTATAGCCAACATCAGTTTTCAACTACAGTTCTTGGAACTAGTGGGATAAGTTAGATTTAACATTGAATACAATCCTAGGAAAGGAAGTCTAACACGTGTAAAAGAATGCACCAAGTACACAAAGAAGCTTGTCAGGAAAATAACCCTCTGGGGTGGCCCTGGAGCTCTTTGACCACAAAGTGAATACAGCCACATATTGTGGCCTTCCAGGTTCTTGACAGATCTGTTATTTTGCAGTCTCAGACCTCTGATGGACTACCATATAATGTGTGGTACATAATAGTTGTACATGCCTGTTCTAAATAATGCAGTGCTGAACTGTTCCTACTTTCCTTTTTCTCTGATTTTGTCATCCATCCTATTGAATTGTTTCAGAAAATAGTCATGTGTTATCTCAGGCATATATGCCATCTTGTAATGTAAAAATTCATATTGCATTGTTTGGCTGAATGTACTGATTTAAGGACTACTGTGTTCTCTTATCTGACTAGTCCTGTGCTTCACAGTGAACTTATCCGGTAATAGCACATGTCTGGCACTGGTTGTGGCCAAATACCAATGACATAAGCATATTTTAAAGTTAAGTTCTTCTTAGACTATTATGAATTCTGTTGGTTTTCATTCATTTCATTCAGTACATTTACATGGTGCTTTTTAGAGAAACGTCCTCTGTCTTAAAGAGTTTGGGCAAAAGCATATATAAATGTACCAAAGATTTCCCAACCAGTCATGCAGGACTGTTTTCTGTCTAAACATGCATAGAATTGCACCCAGGTCAAATGTGTGGTTCTTGATAGTGGAACATACATGTTAACTGTCTGCTCAGAAAAGGCCAATTTAAACAAGCAGGTATTGTACCGAAGATAAGTAAAGAAGAAAGCTGATGATGAAAGTTCTCAATTAGTCGCCTCAACCTGTCAGTTCTTGTAATGCCTGATTTTCATGTCAGTTCATTTGCAGTTAAATATTTTGGGCAAAGAGTTGTCACTGGAAGGAAGCTAATATTTTGCTTAGCTTGTAATTTTGTAGCGTTCTTTTCAGTAATCATGGTAAAGTAGGGAGCATAGTTTCCAGAGGCAGATAGTTATGAGACAATGATCACATCTTGAAGGCTTAAATAAAAGCTTGTTCGTAGTATTTGTCTGTCTTTTTTCAGTTTCTTCCTTACTAGTTGTATCCTTTCATAGGTTTTCGTTGGTTGTACATAGAATGGAATTGATTAATTTGTTGTTTGAAGGGTATTTCTGTTATGCTAGGACACATGGCTGTGAATTGGCCCACTATATGTGACTGTTTCCTGCAGTTTGGCTAGCACAACCAGCATTTCGGTATCACACTGGCCTACCTGTTATCACACTAAAATGTTAAAGTGAAGAATGAAATTATTCTGCTGCATGTATGCATGTTCTCTGGGATATATTTCCATGAATGAAAAATGAAAAATAATTTGTCAACTTCCAGTGATCAAGGAATTAGAAGTATATGCAGTCTATCTGATTGGATGTGCTTCTGTAATGGACACAATTTAGGATGCTTAAAATTCTTACACTCAGAGATCACAAAACTGCTTTAAAACATGATCAGGTATATCTTGTGTTACCAATGTACTTCTTGGAGAGTAAGAAAGCGTGCCTGATTTCCCCTTCCTTCCTTCATTTATTTGTAGCTTTCCTTAGCAAAAACTGGTACTTCTGTCAATGCTTGATATTTTGGAGCAGTGTACAACTCTTCCCTGATTAATAGGAATATCCCTTATTGTGACATATTAGAAAAATTTTCTGACTGAATGAAGGAAGTCTAGTAAGATAGAATTAACTCCATACCAGCCAGGCTCAGTCTTTCTTAGAGAGGGATGAGTGTGTATGGATAGCAGAGGGAATGTGGGAGGGAGAGGATACTGTTCAGCTAAACAGACCACTTCTAGATATACAGAAAGATCTGAATCACTGACAGAGGACTGTCTGAAAGTTGTCAGGTTTTGTTTTGTTTTTTTTTAATATGTGAAGTCTCTTGATTAAGCTTTACTATTCTTGTATTGCTGATGAGCAGTCTAGATAATAGATACGCACTCTGCCAAGCCTGGTCCTGAAGAGTGTGCCCTCCAAAGGAAATAACAATGGGTATCAAGGTGGAGAGTAATAACATGGATCTAGGGTTCACCAACACAGCTGAATATGTTGTAGAA